AAAAAATCAATAATTGATTTTATCACAAATAAGCAGTATTATGTCAGGGAAAGTTCTGAAAACTTAAATTGCTCTGAAATTCTCAAATCTTGCGAATCTGAAATTTTCCAAGAAAAAACTAAATTTCAAGAAAAATATTTATTGGAATCCAACAAAAAATTGAGAACCCATGAAAATATGAAAAACATTTTTTTTCAAAAAATCAAAAAAATTATTTCACATGTAGCAAGTGAATGCTCTTCTGAATCCCTTCCGCTTCTCCTCCAACGCGCGGTCCATCAATTTTTGAAATCCATTCGAATTTTCAGATTTTTCTGGCATTTTCGGACCGCCCATTGCACATTTCTTGAGATCCAAATCCGAATTGAAACTGTGAATTTCCATTTGTACGTGGAACATTTTTTCGGAAGGATTACTGTAGATGAACCTGAAATTTGGGAACTTTTAGTTAGATGTGCAGGGGATACAGTAATCTAGGCAAAATGAGAAAAAAGCAACAAAAAATCCAATTTTCCTCTTTTCGAGATTACGGTAGATATACAGGTACAGTAATCCAATGATTCCAAAAAAAGACAAAAATCGAGATATTCAGAAAAATGGAGAACATCTAGAAATCCGCTTTTCTGAAAATTCTGGATTCTTATTTATACCCGAGAAAAAACATTGTGCCGGTTTTCTTTTTTGGCTTCTCCTTCCGTTTTTTTCTTATTTTTCTGAATCAGACAAGGAATTCTTTTAAATTCTGAAAATTGAAAAACAAAAAAAATTTTTTTTTGTTTTTCAAACAACAATCGAATGGTCAGAAAGTCGATTTTCGAAAAATTGGGTCCCTGGGTCCCTGGGTCCCTGGGTCCCTGGGTCCCTGGGTCCCTGGGTCCCTAGATCCCTGAATCACTGGGTCCCTGGGTCCCTGGGTCCCTGGGTCCCTGGGTCCCTGGATCCCTGGGTCCCTGGGTCCCTGGGTCCCTGGGTCCCTGGGTCCCTGGGTCCCTGGGTCCCTGGGTCCCTGGGTCCCTGGGTCCCTGGGTCCCTGGGTCCCTGGGTCCCTGGGTCCCTGGGTCCCTGAGTCCCT